GAGAGAAGGAGAGAAGAAGAGGAGAGAGAGAGAGAGAGAGGTGTTGTTTGTCTCTGGAGAGCTTTCACGGTATCTCACCGAAGGGGGATGAACCGAAAATACTTTTTGGCGGAGAATATGAAGTGAATCCTTGATCAGTTTGCGACTTTTTGATTACTCTCGTCTCGTTACATGTACGTATTGTGCACGACGACATGTAAAATAATTAAAATAGTTTTGTGTTGCCCGTCGATTTTCTCGCGTGTGTCTATGTGTATATATATATATATATATATATGTCGAAGATCAAAGAAACGCAAAGAGAGTGGATTACCAGTATGTTCGCATAAAGGGATGCTTTTGATAAAGGTGCCGCTTAGACGGTTTACCTCATTTTCACGCCAGTGGGGACCGATATTTTTCATTTTCCTCCCCCCGTTTTATGGTGGTCTCTCTTTGCCTAAGTGCATGCCGCGTGGCCGACCTTGTTTTAAATGAAGCCTCATTAATTAAATATGTATATATATATATATTTAATTAGTACACGCAGCGGCTGTGTGCTATCGAAATATTTGTCTCGAGTTCTTCAGAGAATGGCTACATTATTGGCAGAAAGTTTTGTTGTTGCCCATCCCTCCGCAATTTCTCTGAAGTAGGCAGTTTGCGTTTCAGTGGGCTCTGTTCGACGCTCTTGGCTTCGGCGAAAAGTTAAATTAATGGAAAATGAAGGGAACAGAATTCATTGAAAAGTTGAAGTATTTAGTCGATCGCTTAAAGATATTGGTTTTCTTCGATCGAGGAAAGTAGGAGAGTTTTACCTCCTCTTTGATCGGCCTCGTAACTTTCTTACACTGTAACGTAACTTATTCTTGCGAGCCATAAATAATAATCGCCGGCTCTTCTCGAGGGAAGAAAATAAGATAGAATTAAGCTAATTAACGTGGCTATGCAACAATCCGTTTTCGATGAACAATCGGTTTTCTCGGAGCCGATCAATCGAAGCGCCAATAAGTTGCTCAAACTGTTCTTTAAACGCGGAGCGATTTAATTCCGTGCTATTTCTCAAGAACGCGATCTATATTCCTGATGACGTATCGACGTGATGGAAAACCGTTTTCTTCGTTCTCCTCGACCGTGGATAAAAAAAAAGAAAAAAAAAAAAAAAGCGACGCGCTGAAATAACAGAAAAATATGGAACATCTCGGCTATAGTAATGTCATAAGGAAAATATACATGTTATAAGAACGATATATAAAGTGGATTTATTGTCGTTCAAAATATACGAGACTAACTATTGTTAACACGTCTCTCATTGGTACAAACTCTCTTTATTATCCAAGTTTACGAGAAATTTTGTATCCAAACTATAAATTGCACCACGTGCACGTTTAAAACATTATCGTTCGAATTCTATTGTTCGTCAATCGTTATTTTCCTTTCGTGATCACGAAATAAGAAACGAGTACACGGAACGTGATGAGAAGCGACGACGAAAACAAAACACGTGAGAGAAGAAAAGGGGTTTAGAAGAAAGGAAAAGGAACATCTTGCAGTGTTCCTTTTTCGCTTCGTTGTGCTTTGGTGCTCGTGATACGCACGTCTGCACGTCTATCTCGACGAGCACGGAACAGATATATCATTGTTATGGGTTGGAATATTTTTCGTCGACAGGAAATAATGCTCGTACCATTTTGTCTCGTTAGGAGGACAATCCCTGTACCTATTCTTGCGTGTCACTTGTGCCTTTTATACCCGCCAGGATTAATGGTATAAAAAAAGAGGAGATACTTTTCGGTTAACCAATCACGAGAACTGTATTCCATGAAACAAAGTTCAGCTCTTCTAGTGGCATTACTTAAAAATGGAGGGGAAAAAAAAAGTTAGTGAAAAGGAGAGAAACAATGGTTTCAATCGATAACTGAAAACTTTTCTTGATCATTTGTGCGTTGATTCCTCTTTTAAATTTCGCCAAAGTTCTATATCGATGAGAAGACTATTGTAGCAGTTGATATTCGATTGCGTCGTTTGTTTTTTTTCTTTTGAAATTTTATTATTATTTTTCATGGTTTCGTGCGAAAATTTCTTTTCGTTTGAGATCATCATCGGGAAATCGGTATATCAGTAAGTAAAATATTGTGGAAAAGTATGTTGTTCGATTAAAAATCATGTTTTGTTTGTCGTTTATTTCTATTTTCAAAAAGAGATAGGGGGATCTTATCTCTTAAATCTTTGTCAGCCATATCGGCGAAAAACAATTGTGGGTATTGATGTTTGATGAACATTGTGTTGTTTTCTGTCTATTCTAGAGTTTTATTACTATTTTCAAAAATAGATAGGAGAGGAAAAGGCAGATTTCAGCTGATACGAAATTTATAAATTCGTATTTTGATCGTCATATTGATGATAGTGAAACATGAAAAATCGTATTATTTTTTGTCTTTTAAAATTTTATTATTTCTTCGAAAATGGATAGAGAAAGAAAAGAATAGCGATTTTAAACTGACACGAAACTTTTCTTGCTCGTTTGTACCTGATTCTCCTTTTAAATCAGAAGATCGTCATATCGATGAAAGAACTATTGTAAGGATTGATAAAAATCGTCTCGTTCATTTAAATGTTCGTGCATTTAACGAGTTCAACAGCAGAATTGTGCATACTTTATATAAATTTGTCAAAGTACAATATTTTCTCTAGAATGTAATAATAATCCATTAAATATTACAAATTTGGAAATAATTTTACAGATGTATAACAACTCGTTTAATAGAAATTTATTTTGTATCATCAGATACAATTTACATTTCTAATTATATTACAAAGAGTAACGCTTGTAACTGGTAATTGAGATAATAGGAACTCAGCTAAAATTCAAATATCATATACCTAAATGAAGTTTATATAAGTGAATTTTGAAGTGCATTAGATTAGGCATAAAACAAAACATGAATTTTGCTAATATTATTTAAATTCAAAGAAGGTATTAACATTATAATTTCTTGTACTTTTGAAATAAATAAATTTTAAGTGAATAACAATGTACAGTAAACAGCTTACCAAGTTTAATCGAATATCAGATTACAAGGAAATGTCTCATCTAAATGTGAATGACAGAATCATTAATGTAGCAAAAAGTAGAATAAAGCGAAATATGTTTGCATATAATGTAATGTTTCTCTCTAGATAAAAAATATGAACGAAAAGATATGACATGAATTTTGACAGCCAAATAAAATATTTCGTAATCATGATAATTATTTTTTTTAACTCAAAGTATCGAAGAATCATTATAATATAAGAAAAATATTGAATAGTTGTTACACTGTATTTTGATTGAAGTGTAAATATTTTTATAAAATATCTCATATGTAAGTATTATGTGGATATCTATATATAGAAAAAAACGAAAGTATTTATTTAGTAATATTTGTTGCTCTTTAAAATCATTGATTGAATTTATAAATCAGTGATAGATTGAATGGTAATAAGAACTGGAAAATTCCATGAATTTCCAATACGAAAAAAAGAAACTTATATATTTATGACTTTTATTCGTTTTTAAATTTAACTT